CCAGGAAGCTCCTTAAGGAAAATCTCTAGTGAGTGCTAAGTACACCAGGATTGGGTAATTGAAATTTATTTTTTGTGTTGCTGGGGATGGAACCCTCATGCATACAAAGGCAAGTGCTCTAGCACCAAGCTGCATCTCCAGCAAGATGAAAAAGGTAAAAACTTCAGTCAGAGTGAAGGACAGAGGGGAATGTTGTATGGGATACACTAGGGTCTACAGATGTAGCTCAGTGGGAGTGCACTTGCCTAGCACTCCCAAGGTCCTGGGTTCTATCCCAGCTCCCGAGGGGAAAAAAAGGTGACCAAATTCAGCGAACATTTCTATGTGCTAGGTGCTGTGCCAGGGCTCAGCTCACTCAAAACTTTCCTTCAGGACAGGAAACAACCTCTAAAATAGACATTGCCCCCAATGTCACACAGCTTGGAAAGGGTGGAACTAGGATTTTAATCAGAAATCTGGACTTGATTTAATAACAGTTCTTGATTACTAAGGGGGCTTCTCTGTTCCAGGTTCCATGCTTAGGGACGTTCCGTCCCATGGATGAGGGGACGGAACCCTCCTGTCCGTTGCATGGACCCCTATAAGGTTTTCTCTAGACCCACTGGGTATTATAAAGTGGACACTTTCTAGATGTACTTAGTTTTAGATTTTTCAAATCCTATAGACAGTTTTGGATGGGGTGGCCTTTCTGGACCAGTGTTAAAGTCAACAGCATTGACTTGGGAGGCTCAGCCTGACTGGAGTCAAATTCAGACTTCTCTGCTAACTGGATGAGTGACCTTGAGCTAAACATACCCTCTCTGAGCCTGTTTCTTCAGCTACTAACTGTGGGGATCCTAGGGATTCCCTCCCTTCCAGGGTTTTGTGACCTTAAATATGAGACAGTTGAGAGCTTTGGTCCATACAGGCCCTCAAACATTAATCCAGCCTAGGATACCAAGGTGCCCACAATCAGGAGTCCAAGCATCATTCCAGGGAGTTCATGAGAGCCCTGCGCTCTCCCACCAGGCCACCCTCAGGCTGCAAACTAAAACCATCACAAAGCCCCGCCTCCTCTCTCCCACCAGCCACTGTCTCAGGCCCAGCCCTGAATATAATTCCACTTCCCAAGTCCAACTAGGACATTGGCTGGAGGCTATAAATTCATAGGTTTGAATGAATCCCACAGCCACAAACTTAGGAATCCTCAGAGGGTGTTAATTCCCTCAAGAGAAGGACACTAGGTGTCTTGCCACTGGCTCAAACCAGGGGCTTCCCAGCCCGGATTACTGGGAGATTCCACCATGGCACCAAGAGAGAAGCCCCTTCCCTAGCTCTGAACAACTGTCCCAGCACCTTGATCAACAGTGATGAAGAAATGGAAGGGAATGGCAAGCCGCTCCTTCCAGCTGGTCTCCAAGCCCCTCCCCCAGGCCACTGCCCTCCCAAGAGGTCCCTCTACTGCCACCCTGGTCCAGCCACCTGGCCAGTTATTTCTGTCCAAGGGGAAGGAGAAGTGAAACCAGATTGGGGGTGTGTGGCAAATCCCCAGGCCAGTTTTCTGGGGCTGGCCACACCCTGTGGGCCGCCCTCCTTCCCTGCCCAGCCCCCGCCCCACCCCCTCCCACCTCTAGTCCCTGCCCTAGGACGGGCAGGCCCTGGCCACGCCTAGGCTGCGCCCGGTGGGGAGCGAGAAAAGGGAAGTAATGCTCAGTGCCCTGCTTGTCCACCTCAGCCCCTCTCCCGCAGGAAGCCGAGCCCTTGAACTTCAGAGGGAGACTGAGCCTGTCGTTACTCACCTGAGCCCAGGCAGGGGCTGGGGCCTCTGAAGAGCTGACAGCCCAACTTCTTATGGTCCATGAAGGCAGTGATAGCCTCCAACGGGAAGGTCTGCAGGCAGCGGCCGCAGGTCAACAGATCTGGGTGTTTGTCGGTCCAGGGCTGGCGGTCTGCAGGGAGGAAGCGGGTGGTGAGCGCGGGGTGGGGCCAGGATGGGGGCCGGGGGTTCCGAGGGAGAGGGGAAACCCGAAGGTCAGAAGGGGGCTGGGACCAGGACGCAGCTAAGGCGATGAGGCTGTCCCATGGGCCCATGCGCAGGGCAGGGGTCCCACTTGGGGGCCACAGATAAGGAGGGCTACCCCAGGAGCTCACCGGAAGGGTTCGGGGTCAGCGTCCACAGAGCCCACTGGTTCCGCACCCCGAGGGCGGGGAGGGTGGCCCCGGCAGGCACAGAGCCGGGAGAGTAGCGGGGCTCGCCTCCGAAATGCCCCGGCGCCGACACCTCCCTCGGGGAGAAGGGCCCCGGCCCCAAGGCCTGCAGGGGCCGCACGTCTGGGTCGGGCTTCATTTCGATGACGAGGTAGGACATCTCCATCCCGTCGTCTGAGCTGGCGGCTGGCGCGGGGTCTACACGGCGGGGCGTGCTGCCGGCCTTGCGGCGGGACATGAGTCGCGGGCCGGGCGAGCGGGCGGCCTGGCGGTGGAGGACGCGCGGGCGCTGCACGCTCGGAGCGAGGCGCTCAGGTGAGTGGCTGCAGCGACCCGCCGCGAACTTTTACACGTGCTGGCCAGGCCGTGGCTCCGCCCACCGGGGGCGGAGCCTGACGGGAGAGGTCGGGGCGGCCCCGCCGGCGGCCAAACTCAATCCGCAGTCCCGACCCTCCGCCCTCGCCTTAGTGACCAAATCCCATCATTCCGAATTCTTCTGAGGAGACTCAGAAGTAGGTTTTAGAGAGCCCATTTTCGGGCCGGTGAAACTGAGGCACGGGATGCCCCCACACACCCTTAGCGGGAAGGGGTCAGGCCATCTTTCTTACCAGGCACTAATAATCTGGACTATTCCATTAAACTTATTGCGGGAAAAAAATAATTGGACACCATTTATTGAGTGCCTTCTGCGACCCCGCGCTGTTCTAAGGGCTGCAGATGCAGGAGTGAACAAAATCACAACTAACCCTGCCCTCTGGAGCTTATGTGGCCGGGGAGACTCTGAACACAGATAACCTGTGTCAACTGCGGAGCACCGTCCGTGATGACAGGCGCCAAGAAGCAAAATAAAGCTAGGGATGGGGACAGGGTAACCCCGTGCCAGCAATTTTCTCCCCACGCCGGGGCAGAGTAGCGCTGAGCTGAGACCGAGGGAGGTGCGGGAGTCGGTCTGGGCATTCAGGAACGCTCGTGGGTGTAAGGCGGGGCGGGGAGGGATTGAGTTCAGTGAGAAAATGGGGCTCCACCACACGGACCTTTGGTCAGTTTCATGTCTTTTGGTTTTCCTGAAACAAGCCCTGGACGGGTTTTGAGCTGAGGAGGATTGTAATCATGTACATCTACTTTTTTCCTAGGCCACTAAAATCAAATAGCCCAGCAGGTGTGGTCATGCACGCCTTTAATCTCAGCGGCTGGAGAGGTTGAGGCAAGAGGATCACAATTTTGAGGCCAGCTTCAAAAATTAGTAAGACCATGGACTGGGGATAGAGCTTAGTTGGTAGAGTGCTTGCCTCACGTGCACAAGGCCCTGGGTTTGATCCCCAGCATTCTCCCCCTCTCCACAAAAAAACTTAGCAAGGCTTTTTCTCAACCTAAAAAATTAAAAGAACTTGGGCTGTGACTCAGCCAAAAATTGCCCCCAGGTTCAATCCTCAGTACCAAAACTAAAAACAAACAAACTACCTGCCTCTTCTTGGGCCCCTGGAACTTCTTTCCTCTAGCAATTCTATCTGCTGCTGTTTGAAGTGGCATTGACACTCTGCCCCACCCTCACTCCTTTCTGAGTTTTTTTTTTTTTTTTCTTCCTGGCAGAGACCACGACACTGGTCTCTGATAGAACTGTTGACTGCCCCCCCCCCAACGTAAGGCATACCCCCTGAGGTTAGGGTCAGGGTCTGTCCTACCACAGGTGTCCCTAGCCCAGCCCTGAGTGAATTCCTGATGCTGATCTCCTGGAGTTCCGCATATTGTCATTCAGGTCTCAGCTCAATTGTCCTCTCTGGAGCAGAAGGCCTCCCTGACCGCCTATCTAAAGTAGCCCCACCCTGCTGAAGGCCTTGCAAATTACCCTCGATGACCTCCATCTGTCCTAGTTCCCTTTTGGACCTCAGTTTCCCCAGTTCTCAAAAGAATGTTAGAACCAGAGGGTTACCTGAAGTGGCCACCTCTGACCACCTAATGAAGCTCCCAACCCTGCCACGCAGGAATGCTGTACCCCTTATTTTATTTCGTTTTGCAGTACTGGGGTTGAGCTCAGGAGTGCTGAGCTCAGGACATCCTCAACACTTTTTTATATTTTGTGTTGAGACAGAATCTTGCTGAGTTCCTGAGACTGGCCTTGCAATCCTCCCTGCCTCAGCCTCCCGAGTCACTGGGATTATAAATGGGAGCCACTACTGGGCTGGGATTATTTCATTTTATTTTTGGCATCCAGTTATCACGTGCTGAAAGATCCCATTTAGAAATGGTTTATGTATTTGCTCATTTATACTCTCTTCTATTTTTCCCGCCCCCTCTAGAATGCAAGTTGTGAGATGGCAAAGGGAGCCCTGGTCTAGTTCAGAGCTCCTCTGCCTCATGATTCAGTCAGCAAGTACGAATTGACCTCCTTTTATGTGTCTGGCGTCTTTCCACAGATATTTGCAGAGCACTCGTGTGCCAGGCCCTAGGAAAGCCGAGGTACTCAGGATCCCTGCCCAATTGGACTTTAACGAGGGGAGGAAGCGGGTTCGGCCCGGGCCTAGAGCTGAGAGGTTCCGTTTCCTCATTCAGGGTCTCAGTTTTGTAAACCTGGCCAGCAGGGAGAGCTGGAGGACAAAATGACCCTCTCTCGTCCATCTCAGCTGCTGTCCTTTAAGCCTATTCCCGGTCCGCGGCTGCAGATAGCACGATTTCAAGGTTGCCACGGGGGAGGTGGCCCACGTTCCCCCGGGAAGTGCGGGGTAGGAGCGTGTCGGTGCCGCGGGCGGGGGCCAAACGCTAAGCTCTGCCCTTGACCCAGCCGTGGGGAAGACTTTCTCTCTATGAACCTCAGTTTCGTGCTCCGTAAAATGGGCATCCCAGACGCCCCCAACTAACAGGCTGGCCGGTCAAGGTGCTGGCGGGGCGGTGACCAGGGCGGTGCCCGGAGCCAAGCCTCCCAGCCGGCCGCGACCACGTGGGGCGGCGGCGGCGGCGGCAGCAGCAGCAGCAGCAGCAGCAGCATCGGCAGCAGCAGCAGCAGCGCGGGCGGAACCCAGGCTCGGAGACTTGCGGCCCGCCCGGGCCTCTGCAGCGAGGGCCCCGGCGGAAGTGTGGGCGCCAGAAGCTGTGGACCTGGGTGAGTACGGGGTGGCGGTGGGGAATCAAGGGCAGGTTCCCGGCCCCGGGAAGGCCCGGAGTGGCGGGAAGAGGCGGATCGCGCCGGCGGAGTGCTGTCCCTCGGGGGAGTAAGGAGGACCTGGACGATAACCGTAGCTACGGTGGCAGTCAGGAGACCCCCGTCTTCCCCTGGGTGGAACCACGGGTTTCTTCGGAGCCTGGAGGTGGGAGGAACGTCCAGCCCAACGCCCAGGGCGTGGTGGGAAGTGGACGCCTGGGGGCCGGGAGGACCTACTTAGTATAAGAAAAGGAGAGCCATTAGTGGCCCCGAGGAATTGAAAGGAAACTGACCTGCCCCCAGGGGCGGGGGAGAGGCGTGTTTAGGGTTCAGACCTGCTCAGGTGGCCCCATTTAACAAATTTGCCTCCAGACAGGGCATCCCAAGGTATGTGCCTGGTCTCGTCTGCTCTCTGCTCAGTTGGGTCCTGCCCTTGGCTGTTAACCTGTTAACTCAGCTGGTTCCCTACCCTGGCAGCTGCAAAGGGTTGGCCCAATGTTGCTTGTCCACTGAGCTCTTCCTTTTTCATTTTCTTAAAGCGTGCCCTGACGCCCCAAGCAGGGAGATCAGTGAATCCCCTTCCTCTGCCTGGACCTAAATGATGAGATCTAGTCTAAAGGGTTGGTTTTTCAAGTGGTGGCAAATGACTTTGGAAATTTTTCCTGAAACCTTTGGGCAGAAAATCCCTGCCCCCCCCCCCACCCATTGGATTAAGATGATAAAGGCCTCTAGGGCCTGGTACCAGGGAGAATGGATTAGCCCGCCCTGGCCTTTCTCGGACATGCTGTGTAAGGTTTCTCAAACCTGTTTCTTATCAGGTCACACCTTGGCTCCAAAACCCTCAAGGGCTTCCCCTGGACTGTGGAAAAAGTTTGTCCCTGTGCATAGGGTAGGGTGAGGGCCCCTGCTCCATTGGCTGTAGGCCCTGTTGGCTCCCTTGCCTGCCACTCTGCAACCTGTATCAGGTAATGATTCAACATCTTCCAACTTCATTTGTACTTTAGGAAAGTGACAAGTCCCTCCACTGGCCCTTCCTTTATTTCGGTTTTTTTTTTTTTTAAACATTTATTTTTTAGTTGTAGATGGACATGATACCTTTATTTTTAAAATTTTATTTTTTATGTGGTGCTGAGGATTGAACCCAGTGCCTCACGCATACTAGGCAAAGGCTCCACCTCTGAGTCACAACCCCAGCCCTTATTTATTTATTTTTTTAATAGGCTTAAACATAATTTTTTTAGCTGGTAGTGTGGGCCGGTAATCCCATCTACTCTGGAGGCTGAAGCAGGAGGATTGAAAGTTCAAGGCTAGCCTGGGCAGTTTAAGAAGAGCCTGTCTTAAAAAAAAAAAAAAATGGAGACTGGGTCTGGGGATGTAGCTCAGTGATAGAGTGCCCCTGAGTTCAATCACAGATACCTGCATCCAACAAAGTAAAAACCCCCTAAAACAATGTGTTTGGCCACTTGTTTAATTCCCATCTGGGAGACCTCAGTGTTTATCTTTTTTTTAATATTTATTTTTTAGTTTTAGGTGGACAAAATATCTTTATTTTTTATTTTTATGTGGTGCTGAGGATCAACCCAGTGCCTCATGCATGCTAGGCATGTACTCTACCACTGAGCCACAACCCCCCCCTTCTGAGTGTTTATCTTAAAATACTTAAATGTTAACTTAGTTTGGAGAAAGGCCCTGGGGACTGGTGACAGTGGTCAGATAAGTTTTTTAAATGTAAATAGACCTTAATCCCATTCCCCTCAGTCTCTTGCATCAGGGAAAAAAAAATGGTATCTCCCTTGACCACCTTTTCTTTAGTTTACACTTTGCATCCTTCAAGGAGAGCTCGCTGGCAACCTTAAAAACATGCCCATATCTGACCTCCTTTCCCCACCATCACTGTCCCCACCCTCTCCTAAACACTGTCATTTACCTGGGCCATACAGTGACCTCACCTACTTCTCCCAGTGTCCCCAGTCTGTTCTTTGGGCAGCAGTGAAAACGAAGGCCAGATCCCCGTTTTTCCTACAAAGATTCAGAACCACTTTTGTGCTCCCATGTCTCTCAGAATTGAGGCCCAAATTATTTTTATTTTATTTAAAATTTTTTTTGTTGTTGTATATGGATTAAGATGATAAAGGCCTCTAGGCCTTTATCATGTCTTTATATATTTTTACGGGGTGCTGAGGATCAAACCCAGTGCTTCACACATGCTGCCTACATCTCCAACCCTAAGGCCCCATTTTTTTTTTAATATCTTTGTTTGTTTATGTTTATGTGGTGCAGAGGATCTAACCCCGTGCCTCACATGTGCAAGGCAAGCATTCTACCGCTGAGCCACAACCCCAGCCCCTGAGGCCCAAATTCTTATCACAACCCATAAGGCTCTCCATCCAACTCTCATCACCCTGTCTGCTCCACACTGACCTCCTGACTGTGCCTCAAGTGCACCATCAGGAGGCCACTATAGCGATGCGCCTTTGTGTTTGCTGTTGCTTCTAGCTGCAGTCCTTCCATAACCCTGCTCCCTGCATCTATCCCCTCCTCATTCAGGACCTTGCTCAGATATGTCTGCCCTTCCTGGACACCACTTTCCACCCCCTCCATTTGACTGGGTGCTGCCCCCTCTGAGCTCCTTCCTTCCCACTCTGCCCACTTTGGTCTGCCCTCTTGCCTGGGGATGACAGTGTGTACCCCACTGGATGTTAAGCGCATGGGGCAGGAATGGATTGGGCTGTTTGAGTCCCTAGATTTGTTCTCAAGACCCCGTAGCATGGGCTTGGCCCAAGATCAGGCACAGTGATGATGGTATTGATCATATTGATAAAGTGGATGGGTGAATCATTTTCTTTTAAGCATCTTGATTTGCTTTATTCTGTGATTCTAGAATCAGGCACCTCTTCATTCCATAAAATCAAGTAAGTGTTCCCCGGGTGTATGAGTCTTTACAAGTCTTCCAAAAATATATACAGAATCCCCCCTGCCCTACACCTGGTCAGCCAGTCCCCATTAACCAGTGGGATGCAGTTGTGAAGTAATCAAACCTGTCACCTTCTCTGGGCCTTATGTTGGTGGGACAGGCAGCTTGTGGGTAGATAGGTACACTCGGGCACTTTGTAACAGCATGTCCATCAGGATAGGAGTCCCCAAGGATGATTACAGAGCTAAGAAATTCCTAATGAGGCTGTCCCCAGCATGACATTGCAGTGCAAATGTGACTCACATTCGTGATGGGGGTGGTGTGAACACTACCGTAAGTCAGTGGCATAAAAGAATAGTACACAGGGCTGGGGTTGAGCTCAGTGGTAAAGCGCTTGCTGAGCATGTGTGAGGCACTGGGTTGACTCTCAGCCACCGGTATAAATAAATAAATAAATAAAGGTCATCAATAACAAAAATTTTTTAAAAAGAAAGAATAGCACATACAATTATGGACAGTATGTAATATTTGATATTGACAATAAATAACCATGTTACTGTTGTATTTGTGATGCCATGTGTTTTATCACTAGAGTGTGCTCTTATTTATTTTTTTAAAGCAGCCTCTGTTCATGTGCTCTGAATCTCTATTGCATCAGGAGGCCACTATAGTGAGCGATGTATGCCACCTAAGTTTGTGCAGGTACACTATGATTTTCACACAGTGGTGGAATCCCATGCTTCTCAGGAGGTACTCCTCTGTTGTTAAGTGTACATATGGGACAGTAAATACATATTGTCAGGAGGTGGTAGTGCCAGTGTCATGTGTCTATAGTCCCCACAACTGGGGATGCTGAAGCAGGGGGATTTCTTGAGCCCAGGAGTTCAAAACCAGCTTGGGGCTGAGTACAGTGGGTATGCCTGTAATCCTGGTGTCCCAGACTGAGGCAGGAGGATCACAAGTTCTAGGCCAGCTTCAGTAATTTAGCAATCTCAAAATTTAGAAAAGGGCTAGAGATGTAGCCCACTGGGTAAAGTGCCCCTGGGTTCAATCCCTAATGCCACACATACAGAAAAAGGAAAAAAAAAAAAATTGTGTCCAACTAAGACTAAAAAGGAAAAAAAAAAAAAAAAGAGTGAAGGGTATACTATTTTTTCCTGCCTGTAGAGATGATATTTGAGCAGCAAAAAGTGAGCTATGCTTCTGGAAATATATGATCTCCTATCTAAAAGAGGGTTCCAGGCAATAATAATGGCAGGTACAAAGTCCCTTGGGCTTTGGTTGGACTGAGGTTGCATACACCTGGAACAGAGGGTAGTGGGGTGGGAGATGAGGTCAGAGAGGCGACAGGCCTTATAGCTTCTGTAATGGTGTGGGCTCTTGCCCTGGTTAAGGTGGCTCCTGGACTTAGTTGTAACAGCATCCCTCTGACAGCCAAGGTGGGGAATGTACTGGGGTGACAGTAGAGACCCAGGAGCCCAGTGGGGAGGTCTCTGTGATTGCCTGATCGGAGGTGATGGTGGCTGCACCCAGGAAAAGGCAGAGTAGTGGTGGGGAGAAGCTGTGGATTCTGGGTGGCTTTCAACTTGAAACCCAAGCTTTGCTAATAGAATCAAAGTGGCTTCAAGAAAGTGAGGCATCTGGGAATGGTCCCCCTGGCTCTCTGGACAGTCACCACCCTCCCACTCCCACTTCTCCCCACTACCCCAATCTTTTTTTTTTTTCTTTTCTTTTTTAGGTGCTAGGGTGGAACCCAGGGCCTTACACATGCTAGACAAGGGCTTTGCCACTGAGCCAATCCCAGCTCAAGGTCTTCATCTTTTTTGGGGGGTACTGAGGATTGAACCCGGGGACTTTTTACCACTGAGCTACATCCTCAGCTCTTTTGTTTTACAGTGAGACAGGGTCTCACTAAATTGTCCAGGCTGGCCTTGAATTTGTGATACTCCTGCCTTGGCCTCCAGTAGCTGAGGTTACAGGTGTGCACCTTCATACTGAGCCTTTTTTTCTTTCCTCATTTAGTTTTGTGGTACTGGGGCTTGAACCCAGAGCCTTGCGCATGCCAGGAAAGCGCTCTACCACTGAGCCACATCCCTAGTCTAGAAAAGCTTTTTTTTTTTGTACCAGGGATTGAACCTAAGGATACTTAACTACTGAGCCACATTCCCAGCCCTTTTAAAAATATTTGGGTGTATGAATCTTTACAAGTCTTCAAAAAATATTTACTGAATAATCCCTCCTACCCTACACCTGGTCAGCCAGTCCCCATTAACCAGTGGGATGCAGTTGTGAAGTGTTTAGTCCTGTCACCGCCTCTGGGCTTTATGTTGGTGGGGCAGGCAACTTGTGGGTAGATAGGTATACTCAGGCGCTTTGTATAACAGTAAGAGAAAGGGTCTCACTGAGTTGCTCAGGGCCTCACTAAGTTGCTGAGACTGATTTTGAATTTGTGATCCTCCTGCCTCAGCCTCCTGAGCCACTGGGATTACAGCTTTGTGCCACCATTCCTGGCAGCAAAACAATTTTTTTTTTTTTAAAGAGAGAGTGAGAGAGGAGAGAGTTTTTAATATTTATTTTTTAGTTTTCGGCGGACACAACATCTTTGTTGGTATGTGGTGCTGAGGATCGAACCCGGGCCGCACGCATGCCAGGCGAGCGCGCTACCGCTTGAGCCACATCCCCAGCCCCAGCAAAACAATTTTTTAGTAGACTTTTTTTTTTTAGTTAAAGATGGACACAATACCTTTATTGCTATTTATTTTAATTTAGTTGTCAATGAGTCTTTTTTTTTAAAGAGAGAGTGAGAGAGAAGAGAGAGAGAGAGAGAGAGAGAGAATTTTTAATATTTTTTAGTTCTTGGCGGACACAACATCTTTGTTGGTATGTGGTGCTGAGGATCGAACCCGGGCCGCAGGCATGCCAGATGAGCGCGCTACCGCCTGAGCCACATTCCCAGCCCTGGGAGGGTCTTTATTTTATTTATTTACTTGTGGTGCTGAGAATCGAACCCAGTGCCTCACACATGCTAGGCAAGTGCTCTACCACTAAGCCACAAACCCAACCCAATATAACATTTTTGATGCATGAAAATTATATAAACTTAGAATCATTGGAATCACCTCCCCCTGGGGTACTGGGTGCCCAGTCCTTGTCAGTCTCCTCCTCAGTCACTAGGTTTTTGAGGGCAAGGGACTAAACTACAGACGAGCCTCTGTCCTCCTCTCAGTCTCCTGCTCACAAAGCCAGTGTTGTTCTACATGCATTTAACATCACGGCAGCAGCACTTAACGTGTCCCCGGCCTGAGTTGAACACAGTACTTGGGTTCAGTCATTTGGTCCCCATGCTAACTCTAAGGAAAGTCCCTGCTTGCAGATGGGGAGACCAAGGCCCAGAACCATGAAGCAGTTTCCCGGCCCCATCTGCAGGAGCCTGTAAAATCCTGATAAGGGTGCAGGAGGCATCAGTCCTGTCTCCATGATCATTCTTATTATTTACTTGCTGTGCAAGGGATGGAGCCCAGGGCCTCGCATCAGCCAGGCAATGCTTTACCACTGAGCTGTATCCCTAGCTGGGACTGTCTCTGGACTGAGGTCACGCGCCAAGCCTGGTGGGAAGGTGTTTCCACCCTCACTAGAAGGGGAGCAGGACTTGCTGAGCCTGGTCTTTGGGCCACGGTGGGAACAGCAAGGTGGCTGCTTTGAAGCCACCTGAGGGAAAGGACATCCAAGCAGAGACAGGAGGAGACCCTGTGGGCAGCCAGGCTTTGTGCCCAAGGACCAGTGAGGAGACCCGTGGCAGTGGGGACAACAAGAGTGGCACCCACTGAGCTGGCAGGGCCTTGTGGGCTGTGGCTTTGGCTTTGAGAAAGAAACTGGTGGAGGGTGGGAGCGGAGAGGATGTGAGCTGCCTGGTGTGTTAACAGGGTGCTTTGGCCAAGTGGGGGGGCGCAGCTGTGGGGGATGAAGATGAATCAGGGAGGAGGAGCCGACTGCGGTAGTCTAGGCGAGAAGTGACTGGGGTGGCATCAGGATAGAGGCAGAGGAGGGGCTGAGAAGGGGGAGGGTGTGATGAATATAATATCATTTTATAAGCCTTTGTCTTTTATGAACTTGACTTTGTTTGTTTTTAGTCCAGACTAGTTTTGTTGGTTTGTTATAAAATGTTTCTCAATTTGAGTTTGGTAATCCATTTTTGGAATGAATACCAGAGATGTGGTTCTATCCTTGGTGTCATTACTGGAGCTGTTGGCTTCAGTTGCCAGGTAAACGGGGTGTCCGTCAGGTGTCTCCACTATGAAGTTACTGCTTTCCCTTTACAGAGAATAAAGATCTTAGGAGGAGGTACTTTAAGACAACATAGATATTCTATTCCTCATCAAACTTTAATCCAAAAATCTTCACATCCATTGATGATTTTCCAACACATTGTTCCTCTTACATTCATTACTTGACGTTCTATAGTAAGGAAGACCTTTCCTGGCTCCACCTTTATTTGTTCATTTATAATTATTATGGACTCTGGTTTCTGTTTCTTCCAGTAGTTGTGGTCTCTAACTATGATTATGTTCAAGTTCAAGTCCTTCCAGATTTGGCCAGCAGGGGCCCTTTCCAGCTGGCTCCTGCACAGGCGGGAATCTTTTTGGAAGCAGGATTTCCTGATGGACTGGGTGGTTTGTGTGTATGAGAGAGAAGGCTGAGGGTCATTATTCTGGCAAATATTTATTGCCTAGAACTTGGATAAAGTTTTGATAAAAGCAGATCAAAGTCCCTTCCTTCGTGGGGCTTATGTTTCTGTGCTGTAACACTTTGATTCTGGCCCAAGTCACTGGGGGAATGGTGGTGCCATTTCCCAGGAGGCGGAGAGCTAGGGGATACTGCCCCAGGTTTTAGGAGAGTCAGTGTTTTAGACAGGTTGAGATGCCTGGAAGAACAGTGTCTACCCCCCTCCTCAAGCCCTGAACCCCCACTTAATGGCTTCCCTGTTCTTCACTCAACAGCCAGCACAATGCAGACTCCATTGGCCATTCCTGTGCCTGTGCTCCGGCTGCCCCGGGGCCCCGACGGCTTGAGTCGTGGCTTTGCCCCTGATGGACGCAGGGCCCCCCTGAAGCGCGTAGCTACTGAAATCCAAGAGTGTCCCATCCTTCAAGAATCTCCAGAATCCCAGGAACAGCGAGCCCGAGCTGCCCTTCGGGAGCGCTACCTCCGCAGCCTGCTGGCCATGGTGGGTCGCCAGGTGAGCTTCACACTGCACGAGGGTGTGCATGTGACTGCCCACTTTGGAGCCACTGACCTGGATGTGGCCAACTTCTACGTGTCGCAACTGCAGACTCCCATAGGTGTGCAGGCTGAGGCACTGCTTCGATGTAGTGACATTATTTCATACACCTTCAAGCTGTGAAGACAATATTGTGGTCACCCTTCTGCTGTGGGCTTAGCCACAGTATCACAGGCCTCCAAATGTTCCTGAGCCAGGCACTGTGGACCCCACAGAGTTCTAAGCTCCCTGGGAATTTTGAACCAAGCACCTCTGGATTTTTGAGGCCTCCAGGGTCTAGTTGTAAAAGTCTGCAACCCTAGGAAATCCAGATCTCGTTGAAAGTAATGCTCTACCTTGTAGAACTCTGGACTCTACAGAAATATGGGCCAGTGCCAGTTCCTGAAGACCTGGGTGGGAGGGTGGGGGCTGGAGAAAGATGAACCGCATTGGAGAGTTTGCAGAATTCAACCACCTGAAGATAACGCCCCAAAGCTCCCCTCCTGCCAAAGAACCAATTATCCCAGGAAAATTTGACTTCTGTTTTTCATTTTCTATGTATTCCATGGGGGATGGAGTCAAATTTAGGAGTTGTTAGAATGGTTATCCTAGGGCGGAATCCTGTGGGGCTGGATACAGATGGTGAGGAGCTTGGATAAAGGTGCAGGGATTGTGTCACCCCAGGTCCCAGGGATGGCTGGAGACCCCTGAATGGGGGCTCGGGACCTAATTTTGGGGTGGGCCCGATGTACCTTTACAAGGCGACGGCATGGCTCTTATTGGGTCACTTGGTCTTGCCCAAGTGCTCATGGCAAGCCGCAGATTTGCTTTTCTGTTCCATACTGGGTGGGGGCGGGATGCTCCGATCTTGTGGTGATGTCTAAGAAGAGGCTGGAGATTAAAAGATAGCATGAAGCTTTGACTTTCCTCTATTTGGCCTTTGACCTTTCTCCATTTGGCATGGCCATCCATGTCACCATCTTCACTCAGTCCCCTCTCACTAGAAATCTTTCAGCAGATGGAATTTTTTAAAAAGTTCCTGTCCTTTTAGTCCCTTCAAGTTCAGAAAGTAAGTGAAGCCTTCCAGTAAGTACAGAGGACTTTTTGTTTCCTTTTCAGTCTCAAGAAGGGCTGCTGCCAGTGTACGGGGCAAACAGATAACCTCTCTGCCACCGTCCGTTCACAACGCCACCGCTGGCGACGCCTAGCTCTCTAGTTGCCTAGGCAACAACCAGGCTTGCTCCGCCCCGAGGCCCTTTTATAGTCTCAGCCCCGCCTTCCCAGGTCGCTGGGTGGGCTGGGAGAGCCTGTCGAAAGTGCGGAGGCGAATCCCGAGGGCCGAGTGGACGCCTGGGGGCGCGGCTTGAGCTCGCGCAGGTTCTGCCGCGCGGGGCATCTACCTTCCTCTCCAGGTGTTTGCGTCGGCAGATTCATCTCTCGCCTTTGGAATTTTATTCTCCGGGTTTTAGGTCAGGTCTGTGAATACTCACGGAATCATTTATTTTAATATCGTAACTTACATTTTATGTAACGCTGCCAAGATACAGCTTTTGATGAAACTGCAATCTGCAAATGGAAAGCTAGAGACTAGCAAGAGAGCATCTTGGTTTCCAGAGGATCCCTTCTGTCAGCGCCCGTCGCCTGTACGTACGCATACTCAGCGCAGCTCCCACTGCCTTTCCTTTCAGTGTCTTTATTTTCAGCATCATCCCTTTATTCCCTCCTCACCAGTTGGCGGAGTCCTGCCAAACAGTTATTTTGATAACTATCAGTTCCCCTCCTTTCCACATAATCTGGGATCGTGGCGAATGTACGGGAACCTGGACACAGTTACCTGTACCGAGGCGGGGCGGGGGGCGGGGTGGTTCAGTTTCGCGCGTGCGCGCTGCTCTTGGAGACGGCGTCCACCTCGCCCCGCCCCCCGTATTCTGCAGTTCCGGCTCTGCAGATTCGCTGCTCACGTTTTTTTCCCCCGTGGCTTTTTCTGCCCTTTGTTCCCTTTTTCACGTTGCCCGCAAAAACAATTCTTCCTGCAAATGGCCTAAATAGATTTTCTGACTTCTCGAGTGCTCGGCGGGGGTCCTCGGCCTTTAGCGAAAGTGCGACTGCGAATAGCAGAAGCACTCGGGGCTCGGCGGAGGCGCGCTCGGGCTCCCGGCGGCGACGACGACGACTACGACGACAAGGAGAGCGGGCGGAGGAGGCGCCTGAAGCAGCTGCGGAGCCCATGCCCCGGGACGGCGGGCGGACCCGGAGAGACGAGCCCGGGGCCCGGGGCATGTCCCCGGGGCCCCCGTGAGGAGGCGGCGGCGATGGAGATCCCGCCGCAGGAGGAGCAGCCCGGGCCCGGCGCGGACACCGACGCCGACGCCGAGGGGGCCCCCGCCGAGGCCGGGTCTCCGAGTCCCGCATCACCCCCGGCCGATGGGCGCCTCAAGACTGCGGCCAAGCGCGTTACGTTCCCATCGGACGAGGATATCGTGTCCGGAGCGGTGGAGCCCAAAGACCCCTGGAGACACGGTAGCCACGGCGAGGGCGCGGGGGCGGGCTGGATGGGGACCGGCAGGCGGGAGAAGGCCGGGCAGAGGTGGCGCTCGGTAAATTGTACCGAAGGTTGACTTAAAGAGACCGTACTAGATTTCGAGATGAGGGCTGTTAGGGGCTGGCTGTTGGGTTGGAAAGTGGCAAGAATTAGGTTTCTGCCCCCTCCCACCTCGGGACGCCGAGGGTGAATGTTTTAGGATTGACCACGAAGAAATTAAAGAAAGTTTGGTTTGTTGATTTAGGAGATTGGGAGGGTGGTAACCGTTGAGCTCATAATTCCCCCCCAGAGAAGGATAGGGCATTGGGGGAGGCAGAGTGGGTCAGCATCGGCCTGGAAAGGGCAGGTGGAGGAATTTGATAGGCCCGTGGGGACGGCGAGAGATTAAGTCGTTGGTCGATAAGCCTCGAGACAAGGGGTCCTCATGCTGATCACTTTCCTGGTTGAAAGGAGAAAGGAATAAACCCGGATTTTGGCTGCAGAGGAGCTGGTAAATCCTTCAGTCGGGGAAAGTGAATAGGGTGAACTCCAGGGCACTTGCCCAACAAGTTCCAGGCACTGGGGGGCGGGGATGGGGGCGCGGAGGTGGAGGTAAATTTCCTGGTGGGATGAATAGTCAGAGGTAGTGTTAGGAATTTAGAAGAAAAGCCACTGCATGTCACCTTCTCCTCCCCCCAAAAAGGGAAGCAGAAGATTGTTTGTCGTTCAGGAACAGAGGAAGCTGGGGCCTGGTCTAGAAGGATCTGATTTTCCTTTTGGGAAGGAGTTGGGGATGTTCTGAAGTTAGGAGTTAGAATCGCTCCTGAGTAGGATTCGAGAGCATTGAAGTCTGGTGGCCTGTGGGGGTTAGGAGAGGGCCAGGTCCCTGGATGCTAGGAGAAGGTTGGGCTGAAAGGGCAGCTGGACGCATACATTGGACCCATAGGGATGAGGACTTGGGCAGCCCCTTTCAGCCTGCTTCTTCACTGAGAAGTCAGTTTTACCGGGGTGTGGCCTGTGAAGAGAGGGACCCGACTGGCCTTGCTTCTGTAGACATTGGTCTGCTGGCCTTAGGAAAGGAGAGGAACTGTAGGCAGTCTGTGGGCATTGGAGGAATTGGTGGCTTTGATGTAGGGGTGGGACACTTGGTCACTGGAAACTGAACACACAGGGAGCCTGCCATAAATGCCAGTTTGTCTAGTTATTGTCAGAGATGATGGTTAACTTAAGACTCTTGGTGTTGAGACCCAGCCACATTTTGGGCTCCAGACACCAGGGCTAGTGGAGCAGTATGGGGCTGGAGGGCTTGGGAGCCTGGGACTGGGGGAAGGAGGAGTGAGAATGAGCCCTGGCTGTTGCATGATACCAGTCCAGGGAGTTCAGAGTGGGAAGGGAACGGCCTGGAGAGGAGAGCAGGATGGTTAAAGCAGAGGCTGTGGGGCAAATCCAGACCTTTCTGTGTGCCAGCTTCATGACTTTGGGATGATTACCCAACTCTCGTGAGCCTCACTTTTTCCATTTGGAACGTGGGCAGCAACACCTATGGCGCAGGGTTTGGGAGAAGACAAGATGAGATCACATATGTAAAATGATTGTCCAGGCTAAGTCTTCCTGAAATTGCAGTTATTGTGGTGGTTGTCTTGTTTTTTGGTGTTACTGATTTGTTCCTTGTGGCACGGGGGCAGTGTTGGGGGGTGTCAAACCCAGAGCCTCACACATGCAAGGCAAGCATATAGATGTTATTAATGCAACTTCTGCCTGCGTAGGTGCCAATAGAGTGGAGTTGGCTAGGGAGGGGCCTAGATGAGGCTTCAGAAACTTCCAGGACATGTGTAGAGATGGCGGCAGATTTGTGCGATGGAGGGTCAGTGAGGGCTCCTGGGAGTTGGACACGGGTGGGGATTATGCCTCTGGTCTGTAGGTTCTCAGAAAAGGTTCAGCTTTGAGGAAGCAGCTTTTCCTCTCTGAGCCTCCTTTTTCTTTCTTTGCAAATGGAGGTGCTAGCTGTGAAGATCAACTAGACAGTCCTTGTGAATTCCTGTCACATAAGTAGCAGCTGTTATCCAGGCAGCTTGGTGTTTGGTGTTTGTCTTCTCAAGGGCAGGGTGGTTTTGTTTTGTTTTGTTTTTTTAGTTGTTTCATTTTGATTTTTGGTGCTGGGAATTGAACCCAGAGATGCTTTACCACTGAGCTACATCCCAGTTCTTTATTCTTTTCTTTTTTTTTTTTTTTTTTCTGAGTTCCCTAGGGACTCACTAAGTTGCTGAGGCTGGCTTTGAACTCACCATCGCCTTACCTCAGCCTGCCTAGCTGCTGGGATCACAAGCATGCGCCACCATGCCCAGCTTCATCTTTTAAGAGAATTGGTGTGACTGACCTGGAACTTGTGAAACTCCTTCCTCAGCTGCCTGAGTTGCTGGGATTAAAGTGTACCCCCCCCCC